CAAACAAACAATTTAAATTATATGTACCTGAGGCACACTATTTGTAACTTAGTCAAGTTAGACAGAAATCCAATACAGCTTTTTATTCCTCCTACTCTATTTAACTAGCTAATCTTCTTCTCCAACCAATTGTATCTTCTCCTGATACAATTTTTTCACCAATTGTTAAATTATCAAAAACTTCCTGAAAGTCCTAGTAAATCAAAACTACTCTTTTACCCGTCATCCACATAAGAAATAAAGTTTATAGAGAAGTGTGATATATTCAAGGGAACCAAATTAACTTTAGAGTTATGTCAGATAAGCCCATCAACCAGAGAATTCATTCAAGACATAACATTACATAGAAGTGCTACAGTTTTTCTGGATGAATATAAGCTAAGGAATAAATAGACTGGGCTCAATGTGTAATATAAAATGATATGATGGAAACAAAAACACAGCGTGTGCGCTTGTATACCTTGCATTCAACAGCCGCTTCGTATAGATGTTTCTAAAACATGATCATCCATCAGGTTGACCGAGTGCAAGATTTCTAGTTCCAAAGAAACTTTGCATTTACCAAGCGACATGCGTAACACATGAATGGTCATTATCGTTACACATAGTTGGGGTCATAATCTTTAGATGTTACATGAAGACACTGCTGTCGACTTCTTGATACACAATCACGGTAAACAGGTAACAAGTATTACAAATTTCCAAAATGAAAGGAACAAAGATAATTTGAAACAACATCAACTCAATTGTTTTGTTGCCCACGTGTTATGCGAAAACACATATATATATTCAGAACACAGTGTTACGACAGCGGGGGTCACGTGACGCTAGTAACACGTCATGAACTTCTAGAAGGATCCTGTCCCTTCCTGAAATCTCAAGAGCCTACTAGATATGCGGTAGTGTTGTATATATAAACTGGTAAGAACTGACGGCAACGAGGTAATGAGTAATTGAACTGCGGGCAGAGAGAGACGTATTGTTGAGTCAAACACGTGAGACGTTCGTTGTGAATTATAGCGTTTATTATAGCGTGACTGTGGAAATTAAGTGTATTGCGAAGTTGTATTTAGAAAAAAATAAACTAGTTTTATTTAAGAAAGGACTTGTATCGGTAAAGTTTCTTCGGAAAGAAATTGTACGAAAAATGAACTAACGGAGGCATAACAATAGAATAAATAGTAGTACTGCAAAAAGGAGATATATTCCTATATCAGAGAAGTTAAAAGAGTACGCTTAACCATAAGATAACATTAATCAGCACCTATTCAGATAAACAGTGTTTTAATGTGACATGTAAAATAAACATTTTGTTCACATGTTTATGTTAAAAAATAATTTATTTATGACTTATTTTAAGAATGTTTCATCATTCTGACGTCATAACGTCTGCATCGGTTGCCATTTTACTTAGAAGCGATCAGTTGAGACTTGTCTGTTTTTAAGGCTGGTTGAGGCTGTTATTTTTGTTTATCAGTTTACGCCTGTGAGGTAATTAACGGGAGCATTTTTGCTTCAATGAGTTTCATTACAGAAGTAAGTAATTAATATTAACTCTTACATATATTTTATAGTAAACTGTAATTTGTAAATACTGTGTGAATGTAATGCTAAATATCATTATTAGTATTACGTTGATTAACTATATGTGATGTTACTTTTTCAAAGTCAAATAATGAAATATATGTAAAAATACTACACTGTCAGTGTCATTTGGTGTCGGATCTAGGTAATGTTAAAAATTTATACCTAAAGAATCCAAAAAAAAGGTAAAGATTACTGGTGGTCTGAAGAAGAATTAAGGATAAACGTCTGTAATAATAAAACCTTCAATAGCCTTTACTACTGTTAGTGTTACTAAATAATAAATTAATATATCACTAAATAGTAACAGTAATATTACATTTACTAGTTATGCCTGCTCCACTAGTGTAAGCCCTAATCTAAAATCCTTGAATTCGTTAGAGTAATACTATTACTACTACTAGTAGTAATAGTAATTAGTATTAGTAGTACTAGTGTGTGATTCTGATACTGATAGTGGCAGGATCAGTGGTAGTGACTTGTGATTCAAAATCCAAGAAAAACTTGTATTATTTATTGAGCTTGGGATTGTCTGGAGCAAAATCCTTTGTCTGTGATCTTCATATTTCTTTAAAATGAACACAGTGTTACCTATATAATTATCAATGAATGTATATCTCTGTAGTAAAAAGTAGGGTAGCCCTGTTTAGGCTTAACAGTAAATAGTAACGTTATGTTTTTCTAAAGCTGGTGTTAGACAGTTCTGTAGTTTCAAGTATAGATATGTTCAGATAATCATTTACAGTGGTAGACTGCAAGCTCAGGTTGAGAACAAAATAAGTCAACTTTTCCCTGATTTGAATATAAACATTGTAAAAATTAGAGCTTGTGTTTTTGAACATTTGTTGAATTTCAAGCATGGTCAAATGCAGCCATTATTTTAATTAGTAATCAACATGTTACTTTTTTTTTTCAAGATTTTGCATGTTGGAATTTTATTAAAATTAATTGAAATATTGTGTGGTAACATGCCTAAGCAAAGTATGAAAATACTTTAGATTTAAAAAATACAATGAAAGAATTTGAGACTTTTTTTTTATATAACACAATGCTCATAAATAAAGATTGTAAATGAGAGGTGTGCAAAAACAGTTAACATTTGTAACTGAAATAACAAATAATTGAATTCTTAACTTTTGATAGCCAGGATTTGTTTCTATCTTTGTTAATTTGAGTACTTCTGCAGTTGATTTACTTTTCACTTACCAAAACTAATAGTAATATTCTGTTTGCAGTATTTTTTGTTGAATATCATTTTTAGGCTCTTTTTAAAAACTGCATCATCAGTGTATTCTCACTACATGTAGGATATTTCTCTTCCAATTATTGTTTCTCAAATGTTATGTATTAATCACAGGAAGTGATGAATAATATGATACTTCCCTATATTTAAACAAAATCTTGTACCTGTTCAGTGTAGCCAGAGGCTTAGTAGTCTTTATAAATGGCACAGGTCAAGGAGTTGTCAAGAATGTGTCACAAGTGATACTGAATAATTAACACCTAGTTTCCAGATAATGTATTAAGAAATGATTATGTACAGGCATATTTATAAATGTTTGAGAGGCTTGAGCAACATCACAAATGTACAATGTACACTTTGGCTTGTTAAGAAAAGCAAGAACATGTATAGAACAGGAGTTGTGTATTAAATGTAGAAAAATGAATATAACTGTAAAAAGGAAATCAAAGATTGTGAGATCTAAAGATGTAATTTCTACATGAAATTTGTAATCTATTTTTTAACAACTGTTTCTTAATGCTTTGACCTATCAGTAAAAAATGCCATGATTATGTATATGTAATTTGTAATTACATGAGTGCAACCAAAGAATAGTTCACATACAAATTGAAGTTATTTAATAAATTTATGACATTAATATGGCAACATTATCATATTTATCCTGAGTTTAGTGCCATTTGAGATAAATTAATGGCTACTTAAATATTTTTAAAGGCAATGACCTAGAAGTAACTTTTAAAAATAAGCATATCAAAAAGAATAGCTCGTGTTTTCACTGTTATGCTGCCTTGTGCTTTGTCTGCAGAAGCAGTATGTAGAATGTAATATGTATGTAATATCACCTATGTAATCAGTTATACTCTTAGAATGAATTACAATGATATTTTAAATTTTATTATTTAGTTCAGTCAGTTGGTGTGAAATTACAAATCTTGAAGTTGTTAGATTTCTGTGTAGGTACAACTTGTGAGAATCAGTTATGTCTCATTACTTTTTGCGATGTACATCTGCATTTATCAGGTTGAACTTATGTTCACCTTTTTTGAATTTTATATAATAATATTATTCAGCATGTGTTTATTTTATATGATGTTTTTGAAATAACTAAACAGATAACACACAAGAGTTGCTCATAGTAAATAAAAATGTTAAATATGGGATCAGTACAAGGAAACTACACCGAAAATAGGTAAATAATTGTTTTCATATTGTAATCTATATTGATGTTAGTTTTAATTTAGATTTTAATTTTAAAATATTTCATTGGCAACCTTATGCTGTATGTAGAACAAATTAGTAGAAAAAATATTTAAATGTTTAGAAATATAGTTATAAAATAAAAAGGTTTTATCCAGAGAGTGAATAATAAAAATGCCCTAAAGATTTACACATCATATATTTTTATTTTGTTGTAAGGTTAGAAAGAGGATACATCACCTGTTGATGGAGTTGTTTTTGAGGGTGGAAGGAGAGTATTGCCAGGCACAACACAAGTAAACCTTCTGCCTGTGCTAGTTTTGTATAGACAACTAGTCCATTCTGTTTGTGGTATCTGTATGGGGTAAATAGTGGACTAAAGCTTCGGCACACGAGCAGCAACGAAGACATCTGATACTGAAAGCTGTAAGCATTGAGAGAGTAACTTGAGAGCTCTTGATTTCTCGTGCTTAGTGTTTTATTACTTGAGGTGGCAAGTTGACATTTGCTTTGTTTTGGTCATCTTCATTTTTTCTTTTTAAATCCTAAGAAACAAAAAGTTTCTCTGTTTTCTATTGTGTAATGGACATTATGAAACAAAAAACAATGAGACCAGCGCCATCAGAAATTACTTTCAAAAACATGCGGTTTCTTATTACGGACCGACCAACAGATTCAACTGTTCCCAGTTTCCTGGAGGTGAGTTTTTTGATATACAAATAAACATGCACAACCCTAACTGTATGAGACACCTACCAAATGACTAGTTGCATTTGACTATAAAAGCAAAACAATAGTGTTCATATTATTTTGTCAAAGATTTGAAATTTCAGGATCAACTTTTATCCATAGAAAAGCACTGTTTAATATTTGTAGTGATATAGTTTGTATACTTTTATTTGTTTTTTAAGAATCAGGCTTGTAAAAACTTTTATGTGAAAAGAATTATATATTATTTTTCATGGGTGCGAAATGTATTTGTTTAAAACATGATGCCTGATAAAGTACGAGTAATTCTTATGTATAGATAATGTAACTTATTAAAGTACTATGGAATATATTTATTTAAGGCATTTTTGGATATATCCAAAATTCCAATTCTTCCATATCCCTACATCCAAAACATTATATTTGTTATGAAGAAAGGGGGAAGGGTGGATAAATGTTTTTGTGGTGTTGTAGAATAGAAGGTGAGTCTAAACTAGATGGTAAAGAAGACAATAAGAAATGTATAACAAAAAAACTGGATAAACAAAATATCATCTACTTTCTCACTCGTGAAAACATTTAATGGGACTTTTCCATTAAACCCCACACAATTTAATAACTTTTAAAAATATATTAATATGAATTGTATGCATATAGTAAAAACTTACCATTTGTATGGGTATAATGGGAAAAGTACCCAGTTAACACTTAAAGAGAAGCAGTTTTCTAGGGAGTTTAGAATAATGGAGGTCTTGATTTAAATGGAAAGAAAAATTTAAAGATTACTAAAATTAGCAGAATAAAACATGAATATTTCTGTTAATACTATATACATGATTCATAATATTTTTGCAGTCTAAGTCAGCTTTTGAAGTTAAAGGTTGTCAACATTGAAATTGAAACGTGCCTGATTAAAAATGTGACAATACATAAAAAATAATGCTTCATATCCATAAACAATACTCAAAAAATTAGTTACTAACACATATCTAATGAGTATATATCACATATCATTCATTGCTTGTTAACATTCTATACATTCTTTGATAACCACAATGAATATATGTATGCTATTAAAGGAATCTGTTTAGTGAAACCAAGAAATTTAAATGTTTGAAAGAAAAAATTAATTATCTCTGGAAGATGTACTAAAATACTTAAGCACTACATCTGATACTGTACTTTTAAACAAATTCTATCACTCATACATGAATCAGTGCCTTCGTCTTACATGTAGGCTAATAAATTGCATAGCATTTCAAAAAATAAAAACACTATATGGAAACAAAATTTTTGTCTGAATTTTTCTAACAGGTTAATTACTGAAACCATAAACACATCTGTATAAAAATATTCTGGAAATTACTAAAATAACATCTTCGTTCCATAAGCTCAGTAGGGTATGTGAATACTATCATACCCAAATACTTAATAATAATAATTCAGGTTAAAACAGAAAAATAAATACCTTAAAAGTGATATATATATATATATATATAGAAAAAAGAAAAATAAATAAAAATAATGTGAAAGTTACATTGCCTAAACATTAATACCTTTAAGTTCTCATTACGTAATATACATTATAAACAGCATACAGTATAAAGATGTTAACCAAAACAAATATGCTGCTATAGGTAACTGATTCCTGACAAATAACAGTACCGACTGTCATCATTTGTCAGTAAAGGTACAAATAGGATCTAATGCATAAAAAGCTCTAATGTCAAATGATGTACACAATAATTAATTGATAAAACAGAAAAAATATAGTTATCAAAATGTTTAAAACAATAAATTAAACTTATTTTAATAATATTACAACACATAAAGCTCTAACAATTAAAAACTGAAGGTGTGAACAAAAAAATACTCCAATAGTAATTAGCCATACCCAGCTTCTTAGTATCATAATTGGAAAACATTATGTCCAAATAGGTATGTGGAGCATTGATAAAAATACTGAATTTAAAAAAAAAGCCCAAAATAGACTCCTTTAGAAACTCTGTTAATGCACTTAAATCATAATTAATATTTTGTGCAAAATCTGTTACAGGTTTTCTGAAAAAAAATAATCACATCAGTTAGAATGTGTTTTTTAAAACAATGAAGCAAAACAGAAACCTTGACAAAAAAAATATTAAACCAGTTTGTGAGGCCTTTGAAAACACCTTTTCAAAACATTTAGGAATTACTTATCAAATGGTAGCTTTGAAAGTGGTGGTTTTCTAAGTTACTTTTCACAATACACCATGCTCACAACAGTCACACTACTAAGACTGTTCAGAATGTTATTTTCTAACACCTTCTTTGCCTGCAACATAATTTTTTTTTCTCTCTCTCTCTCTATATATATATAAAACAAAAGAGATCATGTCAGCAGTGTTTCAATCATTCAGAATTTTACCGAGCATCAGTAACTTTTAAATGATATCCATCAACACTAATAATTTTTATTATTGTAGGGTTATAATTATCAGTCTCAGTCCTTACTTCTTTTAAAATGTAATTTTTCAAGCAATAAATTCTTTGATAATAACAACTAAATAATTCTGTTTCCCACCTATAAGAGCATTGGAAAGCTATGGATCTTCTTCAGCCCATTGGTTTCTGTGCTGTAGATTTTAGGTTCTGTGGTTCAAACTTCATTATGACAAAAATAAATTATGCAGGTTTAAGCATTTGACTAATTAAAAAAAATTGGTCAAATGCTTTATTAATTATTTGTTTGTTTTTTACCTTAACTTCGTATATCAAGTAAATTACTTAATATGAATTACATTAAAATATAAAAGAACCAATATATGGTACATATCCAGCCTTTAGACAACAACAAAGGTATTGCTGCACATGGTAGTGCACTGCCATTTTGACGTTGTGTATCTTAAATATATATTATCAGTCTGTATTCCAAATATGTTGTTTATTTTTATAATATGCCATTATTATGAAGTTATATTGCAATTTTTAAAAAAAATCATAGCTGTTGTCTGCATAAAATTACTCATTTTTGAAAGTTTCAGAGGGTAATGAGCAGGAACCCATTAACCAGTTTGCAATTAGAGCCCCTTTAAATGCTTTTCTGTACAAGCCACTGTGTTACATTCAAAATTTAATTAAACACTTTTATTATCAATGTATATGAACATGTATGTTATGATTTGAAGTTTAATTTTATCCATGTTTTAAGACATTTATCAAAAATATTTACTTCAACTAAACAATTTGTTTAATGTCTGACTGTAAGCAATAGTAAACTGACAAGCAACAGTTTATAAGGATAACTAAATTTATTTTATGGAGAGAACATGCTATGTGTTTCAACTTGACATTGGTCTTTTTTCGTTAGGGTTTATATACAAAATTATTATATATGAAGACAAAAGATGCAAGGGATTATGATATATAGTAATGTTGACACATGTCAGCAGTGAAATTTACAACAGGTTTATAACTTAAAAGGCTAGATCTGGTCATGTGTGTGAGTGAAAGCTCAGTGAATAAATTTTGACAAATTTTGTTGATATTAATAGGACCACTGGCACATTTTAGTGAAAAATAAGCTGCTTTAATAACTTCTGGTTTTTCTAAAAAGTCTTTCTTATTTTTCAGGTGGCATAGGAAAAAAAATAAATCCTAAAGTATCTAAGCAATGCAGTGGTGTATCAGATACCATAGAATTTCATGTTTTCATTTCATCAAAATACATATGATAGTAATATAGTTATTAATACTCTGATTCTTCTAGCTAATTACACCATCATTGTTTATATACTATAACTTAAAGTAAATAAATCTGAATTTAAGGCATTTTTCATAAACATATTTTCATTAGATGTCTACCTTTTCCACGACTAACTGCAGATAGTAAGTGACAATTTTCAATGAAAGGTGTTGAGGGAGTGAGCACTCATGTACTTTTAATGATTATTTTCCCCTTCTACGTATGAGGGTTATGACAATAGATTAAATGATAAACAGTGTATCACTACTGCTATGTGTAAGGTATTTACTTGTTATATTTTGACTTCTTTCATGTGTATTGCCTTTTGATTATGGACCTGTTTGAAACATTACGCTGGATTAATGGACATTCCCCCATGGGTACAGTGTAATTTAAGGTATACAATCTTCATTGAGTAAAGTAATTTTACATGTATAAATCTATAGTTTGTCTTGTATGGACATGTATGCCTTTTTAAGCTTATGGATGTAAAACTGATGAATTTATTGTGGACATCTTGTGAGTGTGACAAATGTTGTGACTCTTAGGTCATATATTCTGTATTTGTTAGACATACCTAGAAGTTTGTTCAGTATACTAAGAAACTTGATTTTTCATGTTTAACAACATGCAAAGTATTAATATTTTTACAGGATGTTGTTTCCTGTTACTTAGGTGGTTACGTCTTTTCTTGACATTTTTTTCTTTGAACAAGTAAAATTTCTATTCTTTTATATAAAAAATTTAAAAATCTGTATAGCAGTTTTAATACATCTACAGGCTACTGAAAATATAATTGTTTATTAAGTGCTCCAATTTGATACCTGTGGGTAGAGCTGGGCAGATATTAATGGAAATTAAGAATAAATCAATTAATAACAAAAAAATAATCAAGTAATCAAAAGTAGTGTTTCCAGTTATTATTGTTTTTGATTATTTCAACTATCCAAGAAATCAAAATATTGAAATTTGTTTCTCATTATTGTTTTTGCTTAATTAATTGTTCAGTTTAAGTGATTACTGTTACGACTCTTGAGAGCAATCAACTAATTGATATCAGCATTTCTTATTACTATTTTTGATTATTTAACCATCCAAGTAATTGAAATATTAATGTACTACTTTCATTAGCATGACTACTTCTAACATATGCATGCATCCTGCTTTTAAACAACTCATGAATGTGTGGGTGTGGCTTGGTAGTCATTGGTTACATAACTAGCTACATTAATGCATATTCATGTCTAGACAATAGTGTAGCTTCAAC